GGTGTGAGATGAGTGGTGTGTGATGAGTGGTGTGTGATGAGTGGTGTAAGATGAGTGGTGTAAGATGGGTCAGTTGTTGTGAGATAGGTGGTGTAAGATAGGTGGTGTGAGTTGAGTGGTAGGATGAGTGGTGTGGTGTAAGATGGGTGGTGTGAGATATAGGTGGTGTAAGATCGCTGGCGTGAGTAGATGAGTGGTGTAAGATGGATGGTGGTGTGTGATGAGTGGTGGCAGTTGATCCAGGAGGCTCTGTGTACTGTGCCTGCCACGAAATCTGCAATTCGGGTTTACCAAGTGCTGTGCCTGTCACGAAATCTGCACGACCGGCAGCCGCGGCCCAGCGGCGACCACGCGCGCCGCAGCTGGTCCGGGAGGCTCTATGTACTGCGCCTGCCACGAAATCTGCATTTCAGGTTCACCAAGCGGTGTGCCTGCCACGAAATCTACACGACCGGCAGCCGCGGGCCAGCGGCGACCACGCGCGCCCCAGCTGATCCAGGATTCAGGTTCACCAAGTGCTGTGCCTGCCACGAAATCTACACGGCAGGCAGCCGCGGGCCAGCGGCGACCGCGCGCGCCCCAGCTGATCCAGGAGGCTTTGTGTACTGCGCCTGCCACGAAATCTGCACTTCAGGTTCACCAAGCGCTGTGCCTGCCACGAAATCTACACGACCGGCAGCCGCGGGCCAGCGCCGACCACGCGCGCCGCAGCTGGTCCGGGAGGCTCTGCCACGAAATCCGCGCGCCCCGGCTGATCCAGGAGGCTCTGTGTCCTGCGCCTGCCACGAAATCTGCATTTCAGTGGTGTAGAATGAGTGGTGTGAGTTGAGTGGTGTAAGATGAGTGGTGTAAGATGAGTGGTGTAGAATGGGTGGTGTGAGTTGAGCGGTGTAAGATGAGTGGTGTAAGATGGGTGGTGTGAGATAGGTGGTGTAAGATAGGTGGTGTGAGTTGAGTTGTGTAAGATGAGTGGTGTCAGATGAGTGGTGTAAGATGAGTGGTGTGAGATAGGTGGTGTATGTTGGGTGGTGCGAGTTGAGTGGTGTAAGCTGAGTTGAGCGGTGTGAGATGAGTGGTGTAAGATGGGTGGTGTGAATAGGTGGTGTGAGTTGACTGGTGTAAGTTGAGTGGTGTAAGATTAGTGGTGTAAGATGAGTAGCGGCGACGGGAGGCGGAGGCGGGAGGCGGCAGGCGGCAAGGCGGCGGGAGGCGGAGCGGCGGTTGCAGAGCGAAAAACTAGAACCCCACGTAGTGATGTGGGGAAAAATGAACACCAGGCACTTTGCCATGCATATGCCCCTTAGATGTTGAAGCCTCTTGGAGCTCTGCACTCTGAAGTCTAAACCCATGCACAACACGAAGTGATTAAAAAGCTTCGAAAACGCACCTGCCCAAGGCGTGTCCGCATGCCGTCCTGGATGCCGATCGGCCAGGCGCTCCCATCAATGAGCGCCTGCAACGAGCGCTGGGTCCCGCAAAGGCAGCTTGGCTCGGCATTGACTCATCTCTTTTTACCGGCGCAACAAAACATGATTTGGGCCTGGTTGTGATTGGTCGTCACGAAGGCGTGCGTCAACCTCAAAACGGCTGTGGGTCATGGCTACAGGACAACGTAACTTGGGCATGACCTACCTGGAAGGTCAAGCTACATGGTGGACCAGGGTTCCCATCCTCATATCATTCTTGCGTGGGGCCCTCTACACGAGCGTCTACGTGTCTTTTACCAGCCCGGGGACAGAGTTCCGATTTCGTGCAGACAGGTCGCCAGTTCATGGCCAAATGCCTCATGCGGAAACAGCAGACTATCCACGCAAACCGGCAGGCTGCCGAAGAAGCAAAAACGGGTCATTTCATGTCACTCTAAAGCGGTTTCTCGACAAGGACTCTCCAGGTCTTCATCCAAGAAGCAAAAAGCGAAGCCCAATCTGGTTGAGGCGCCTGAGAAATGATATTGAGTTACAAAGCTTACTTGGAGAAATGCAAGACGAAGTCAAGTCATGAAATGTTTCGTCTCTGAAGACGCCTACAACGAGAAAAGGACAAACCTGTTGTTCGTCGGACATGTCGGCTTCGACCATTGTAGTGAATTCAGTGGCCCGACCTCGTTATCCTCTGGTTCCCGTGCACATGCGAGCAGTAGGCATACGCCAGGGCTCTGTAAAGAGCAGAGATCCCCAAGGAACATGTGAAGGCCTGGCTCAATGAATGCGAGTACGCAGAAACCCGACAGTCGGCCTGAGATTTGGGTATGTATGTATGTACGTATGTAGATATGTCTGTATGTGTCTATCTGTATGTATGTATGTATGTATGTATGTATGCATGCATGCATGCATGCATGCATGTATGTATGTATAGATGTAAATAAATATTCATGTGTGTATGTATGTTTGTTTGTATGTCCGTCTGTCTGTCTGTCTGTCCGTCCGTCCGTCCGTCCGTCCGTCCGTCCGTCTGTCTGTATGTATGTCAGTTTGTATGAATGAACGAATGAATGAATGAATGAAGGTATATATGTATGTATGTATGTATGTAGGTATGGATGCGTGCACGCATGTACTTGTTGATGTGGATCAACATAAAGAAGGTCCTTGCAGCACATCTACTCAGCTTGAAAAGGTTGAGCATTCTTTCTGGGGTGATGGTCATGGCACCGAGTCGCCCCAAAAACTTGAAGAAGTGCTCGGGAAGGCGATCCGGGCCAAAAAGGTTGTCTTCCGATGCCTGCTGCTCATCCTTGGTTGCAGACTCTGCAGCATCTGCTAGAAGTACCTTGTGGGCAACATGACACTGGCTGCTCCACACAGTTGCACTTGCCATTTCCTGTGATTGGCTTCTCCACATGTAGAGTATTCTATTATATATATATGTCATTTATGTTATTACATCTTATTACATATATTCTTATATAGGCAGGCTGGCGCTGAAACCTAAACGGTGCTACCCACCAGTATCATCCAGATGCAACAGTAGCATACAGCGCAACTCAAAGCAGCTACTGACTAGTGCTGGGGTCTCTACCCCGGTTTCGTTATGGATAGAAAATTTGGGTCAGATCAAAACTGGGGGCCCTCCCTTTCACATCACAAGAAAGTATGTTCTGACCACTCTTTGGACCACTGCCCAAAGATTTTGTCGATCTCATGGTCTCCCCAGGGAAGAACCGCGCAGTTTTTTTCTGAAACCAAGTTGGCGAAAACCCTGTGCGAGAGCCCTTAAGGGCAAGCGGTTCAAAATTGTGGAAGCGAATGTGTTGCCTAGGAAAGAAACGGTCTCCCCAACTTTTGCCGGCCAGTCCGGCCTTGGCCGTCCCAAAGTCTCCCGATTTGAAGGCCTGGCGGCGGCTGGGTTGGGGAATTCCCAAACCGTGGATTTTCGACACAAGTCCACGTCCACCTCTGCACCAGCGTTGATCGTTTGTAGAAGCCTCAGCGCATGGCGGTGAAGCCTCCGTCCCCACCCTGGACATACACTGCACCGTCCGTCCAAGGATGAAACATCACCATAAGGCCACAAGCCCCGTCTGTAAGTTTCACTCAGAAACTGGGCGACAGGATGGTCGAAAGCAGAGGAGGAGATGAAACAAGGTAACACTGACGACGATTACGATGATGAAAATGAGGATAAGGATGATGATGAAGAGCAGGAGGAGGAGGAGGCGGCGGCGGAGGAGGAGGAGGGAGGAGGACGAGGTGGAGGGCGCAGAAATAATCGCACATGAAAAAATATAGCAGCGTGACTTCTTTATCCCTTTTGAGGGATGGAATGCAGTCTTTGAAGCTAGCGTTCCTTGCAACGCGCTGCAGACAAATGCTAGTCGCAAGTTGCATCCACAGCTAAAGAAAACTCGGAGAGAGCAGAGCGACCAAGTAACGACAAAAATAACTAAAGAAACAGCACAGTCAAGCTGTCACAGGACGTTGACGCCGTTAGTGTGCCTTAAGCGCATTATGCGCCCGTGGGTTCACTGCAACGCACGCAGTAGCACAACGGTTTTTCGCTTTCATGGAATGGTCTGCAGTCTTTGAAACCACTGTTGCAGTGCGCTGACCTGAGAAGAGCAGGAAGGAAACATGACCGACTGACAGAGCGCGTTCTGGCGCCAGGGGATGAGCCAGGCAGAGAGCATGATTTCGCCCATAGCTTTCATTCTCAGTGGGAAAACACACGCCGCTTCAGCAACTGCGGGCGGGCCTTGCAAAAAACGGAGGGGCAACATCAAACCCTGGCCGACCAACCAGTTCCTACGAGAGCTGCCTACCAGGAATGCTTGGCGCCAAGCGCCAACGCAACAAAACATCACAAACAGGTTGCAAAACCAATTCCAAACTGGCAGGTGTAACACGTCCGACATCATGATTTGCGCAAGCGCCTCGCCTTCGGAAAAGCATTCTTGAATACTGCAAAGAAATGCATATCCAAGGTTGGAGGAGCGACGTTTTTTGAAGGGCGCACGTCTAGCGCCAAAGCTCGCCCTTTCCTAACGGCTTCAAAGCTTTGGTCAGTTGGGTCAGCCATTGTCGCGTGGTCTTCTGAGATTCCACGTTGAAAATCTGTCGCCGCAACTGAAGAGTTGGCGGCACCGCCGTCCCACTCGTGGAACGCAGCAGCTCCAATGTAAAACGACGCTGGTTTCTGAGTAAGACTTGAGGCAACTGCTTCTGCGCGTAAACATTATAAGTGATGCATGCGAAGAACGAAACGCAAATATAATAAGGCGCGCTATGGCTGCTTCATCTAAATGGATGACCAGAGGCAGCCGAGCTGCAGGCCCCTCTGCCAAAGTTAAAGTTGATCCATCTGAAAAAGGCATGGCCTGTAGCAATATTGACATTGAACTTCATTGAACTATCTATCTAATATGTCATATGTCTATGACCATCACCAGCATCAAATGAGATTGTTTTTGCTTTGCGATTGATTTGTAAGATTTTGTCAGTAGGCAGGAAGCATTAAGCAGGAATACCGCCGCAGTGTCTCTGCGTTTGTCACCCTCTTGACTGGGTGCCTTGGTCATCAACAAAAGCGACCCCGCCAAATACAGCCCTTTTTGGGCCTGCCACTCTACAGGGGTTACAATTTGACGAAACAGCCCGCGCAAAACCTACATCGAAGCACAATGAGACACCCGCCTTCTCCCGCCGCTCCATCCGCGATGGAACGTCACAAGGCAGCAGGCCACAGCCACTTGCGCTTCTTGCGCAGGCTTCCCAAAGGGACTTGCACAAATTTCTCCTTCGCATCACCTGGGGCAGACCCGGGAATGCAACCCACAGCTTGGCGCAAAATTTGCTCACGCAGGCGCAACTCCTTAAGTAAGAGCATCAAAGTGCTTCAGCCAGACCCACAAACTTTGCACGTAACCTCACACCTGGCACAACTCATTTGCTTGCTGTGGCGTTTGGTACATGTCACTAATGAGCAGCACCGGTGCAAATCACACACCAAGTCAAATTCTTGCAACAACTCACTTCTCACGCCTACACTAAATGCACAAAGCAGAGGCAAAGTTTACAGACTGCGGCTTCACGGTCATGGACACGAGCGCTTGCCCAGTCGAAGCTTTGCTGTCTTGCTTGCTGCAAGCTGCTGAGCTTGAATTTGGGTGAGATATGGTCAGTGGCCCAACCCAAGGGGCTTTCACCTGGAGGCCACATTCGAACAGGATTTGGATGAATGACGTTTTGGAAAGCCGCGCGCAGGTGACTCAGCAACCCTCAACGCCACACTATGGCGCACCGTAATCGCAGCTCTGTTCGAGTAAACAACAAGGCTGTCTTCTGATCCTATGGTCCATCCAGCGTCACCAAAAGTGGCTCCGCAGAGACAACAGGAAATGAGGACCGCGTCTAAGGGGCCTCCGCAGTACTACCCGTGCTACATTTGTACTCACACCTGTCTCACAACGCCTGTATCTCAACGCCTCTATCTAAACACCTGTATTTATATAACCAGCTGTACCTACACACCTGTGTCCAAATACCTATAGCCTATATCTATGTATGTGTGCTCTAGACTATGGCAGTTACATCACCTCCATCTCTGCACCTGTATGATGATAATAAGACCGACGACGACGACGACGACGACGACGACGACGACGACGACGACGACGACGAGGAGGAGGAGGAGGAGGAGGAGGAGGATGGTGATTGGGCAGTTGATGTTGGCAGCCATTCTTTGGGAAAAAAGCATGGCTCTGGTCCGACAAAGCAAGGATGCATGACAGAATCACCGCAGAACACGACCACTTGGTCATGACAAAGGATATGGTTGGCTTGCAAAGGATGTGTGCAACACTCGGAGCCGGTTCAAATCAGAATCAGCTTTGAACTGTTCTAAAGTGAGCTCATTCAATTCAACAATGTTCCCCACACTCCATCGGGTCTTGGGATAGCACTCTTGCCATCGAGGTACCTGTCACAGCTGGCGGCTTCTCAAGCATGCACGAAACCCTTTGTCAGTATTCATTGTGGTCTGAAATGCACTATGACACTATGAGTTCTATGTTTCTTTAACATAGAGAGAGAGAGAGACTCCTAACAAGCCGCTTCTAAAAATGGACACGAATCCTTGGAGGCTTCCGTAGGATCCACGATGCAAAGTAAGTTTCAAGAAAAAAGGAACATCGCATGGTTGTCTTCGGTGCTGGAGGGGTGGTTCAGTCCAACGGTCTCCCAACAACCCATGGATGAAACTGGCGATATCCTTCACGACTATGAGTACCTTCTACCAATTGCGCCCAAGAAAACGGCTGGAGTCGCAGCACGGCCGCCAAAGCACTGCCCACCTCGGGACAGCTTCCCAGTGTTGGAAAGCCAAACCTGAGTGGCCAATATGATCAGAAAGCCCAACAGCATTGGCTCTCCCTTCAAGAAATCATAGAAGTGGAACACTACCTGTGAACCCACCGCATTTTCACGGCATAACTGGTTGGTGCCACTGAGAAGAGCGATCTGAATTCACGTACACACGTACAGCCAAAGGCATGTCGTTCTGCCCTGGGCCAACTCCTACATCACGAGCTCAGCAGTTTTGAGAGTCAAAGAAGGCTTGGCTCCTGGGCCAAGGAGAAAGGAGGAGGAGGAGGAGCAGGGGGGAGGTTGAGGTTGACTGGTGCCCTGCTGGACGCTTCATGATACGAAGTGCGAAGACTTTATGCATGGCCCCTGTTGGGTCTCGATGTTCTGCAGAGCCCATTGATGCTCTCATCTTCGTAAGGGCACTGAATTACTGCAAACGGTCTCCACAAGAGGCCAAGAGTACAAAATGTCTTGCACTTTGTCTGGTCATGCTTCCAACATATGCTTCATGGAGGCCAAAAAAGAAAATACAATGCCAACAGCGCGACACTCCCATGTCGCACAGCCTGCAAATCGTTTTGATTCTGCAGGTCTGAAGGTGACCAGTAACAGCTGCCAATCTCCAGTTTCAGCTGACCTGACCGTGCAAGTGAGCTATCTTATCGTTGATGCTGCTTTTCCAGATTCCAGATGTTGAAAATACGAATGTCGAAAATGGTAGGGGACCATCCAAGAACCCACTAGAACTTATGGATCAAGTCCTCGTTTCATATTGTTTCATATCTCATATTTCTTCAGCCACACCCATGAGTGTAGCTCGAACCATCACGTTTGCTCCGTTGGTCGATGGAATTTGGGGACCTGAAAAACCAACCCACTTGGGAAGTCTGCGTCGCTGATTAGCAGAGGAATGTGGATCCAGGTGTGTGGTTTCAGGTGTAGAAAGGAGAAGAGCGCCTTGTCCTTGACAAAAGCAATAGACTCATCCTTCACCACGAACTGATCACAAAGCTCAGGCGCATCACTGGACTGGAACTCCAACCTGCGCGACGGTGAGGTTTGTGGGGGAACTCCAAGCTGGGCTGCAACTCAGACCTGCTCTACTGTACATCTTCAACAACATCTGGGTGGAGAATCAGACCGAAACAGTTCTGGTGAGCCCGTGCTAGGTTGACATCCCTTCCACGAGGTCTCCTTCATCGAAATGTCGACCCGCGTGGATGAGCCATGGACCATGGCCAGCCAGCTGGGCTTGACTGTTCAGTAGCACAACCCAGTCCAATCTCCAGCAACCTGACCCAGCTATACATTGATTCAGCACCCCCTAGCACCTCTCTAGCTATTCGGCGCAAGAAAAGACGCGCAACGCCTGGGAGGTCGTTCATCCACCGTCACCACGATTCTGAACACCAAGGCACCGCAGCTGTCGGAGGCTTGGCAGGGAGGAGCAAAGCTCTTGGAGGCCTTGCTTGCTCACTTGGTGGGTGCTGTTGCTAATGAACTGCAACCTCAGAAAGGCAGAAGGCTGCCGAACATCGACGTGGCACGGGTACAAAGGGAACGAAAAAGGTCGGACTCATAACTTGTTCCAACGAATGCAGTTGAGTCTTTTCTGCAATTCTGTTCCACGAACAACCGGTTTCAAGGACCCCTGAACCAATCAAACAGGTCTTCGATGGTCTTCGGCCCACCGCCGACTTGGGCCGTTTCGCCAGCAGGCTTCCGTAGCCCGCCCGTCTTGGAGAGCCATGCGGCCAGCCTGGGAGGAACTCAAGTCACCCCCTCAGGGGAGTCTGAAGAAATACTATCCATCAATCTATAGGAGCAAGGACGCTACTAGGGGCTCCTGGCCGTACTACTACTAGCAAGATGCTACTAGTAACAAAGGGCATCGCTACTAGGAGCAAGGACGCTACTATCCACCTATTGATTGCGGGGCACTCACTCTCCATCTCAGATATGGCAAAGTGTTTTTGAGACACATCCATCAACAAGTTCCGAAAGAACGAACATCCAGAAAACATGAGGGATTCAAAGGGTGAAGCATGGAGCTGTATTTGTATATGTTTAGATTCCAACCCAGTGATCCCTGTCTCATCCACATCGGAAGCGTCTGAGGAGCCTGAGGGTTCAAACTGTTCTGCTTCTGCAAAGGTAAAGAGGCAGCATCGTTTGTGGCAATAGTAGTCAAACAACACACTCCGTAGCAGACACTGCACACTCCCCTGCCAGGTGACAAGTACATAGCTGCAAAGAAAGCCCGTGTTACGTCTTCAAAACGAGAATTGTGCATGCTGTTTTGCATGACATCTCCAAAACAAGCATGTACGCTAAGCATGTCCACAAATCGCGTGCTAAGTCTGCCAAATAAAGCCAAGCCAAAAGACCTGTCCGAACGCACGCAAAACACAGCTCTGCTTGGTGCAGTTTCGCAGCTCCAAGCACAAAGCAATCGAGAGCCCGCAGAAGCGCCCCATCCCACTGGCATCGCCAGGACAAAACTCAACTAGTTACTAGTTCAGGCAACCTTTTCATACAAGGTTTCCTTGAAGGTGCGGCAGCACTCCCTCAACGCGAACATTTCGTTCGAGATGTTCTCAAGTGAAGCAAGCAAGGCATCTCATCACAGGCACCAAGTATTGCGCCTACCATGAAAGTTTGACTATGTCACCCCTTGATGTGTCTATCTAAAAATGTGTACGCACCACATGCTGCCACTTTGCTGCTTCACCCACATTTATCCAAAATCATTACTTTGGAGCTTGCTCGAAAACTCAAAGCGACTGTTTTGGCGGCGTTGCAAGCTCTCAGGTCTTGTCAACCCAGGCATGGCTCTTCAGCCAAG